AGTTTCTCAAACTGATTTGAAAGTGAAGCTTTTTTATTCTCAAGTGCTAACTGAGGGCAAAAGGAGAAACACAGTCAGGATGCTCCAAGGAACTCAAGACAAGAGGAATTAAACACTTTTGTGCTCAACTTTTAAAGTTTTGAAAGTTAAAAACAATCTTACGTGCTTTTTCTTCTTGGTTCTTAGATATTAAAACCCTTGGAATTATTTTTCTGAATTAAATTTTTATTTTGTTTCAGCTGAACTCAGTTGAACTGAAATATAACACTGGAAAAGAAAGTGGTTTTGTAGGAAAGTCATTTCAAAAAGCTAACTTCAGTCACTGACCTTTTCCTCTGAGAAGTTTTTATTGACCTTGTTGAACTACTTGCGGGCAGCAAGTTGACCTTTACCAGAATTTCTGACCATGAGGATAATCACAGAACTCTGAAGACATCATTTTTGTGGTGAAGTTTAGAAGTCTGGAATCTGGTTATGCTCATCAAGTCCGCCTAGCTGGCCCAACATGAAGTTTTCACTCAGACTGTTTTTAGTGTTTTTGGAAGGCCGACGATTTCTAACACCAGGGGTGGTACAACGAACACATCCCTGTACTGTATTGTGTTTTAACTGAAGAAGGAGCACACTGAACATTAAAATACAAATAGCAGTTCCTGAGGAGGAAACCTTTTCCTTCTGATATTGAATCTAAATTACCCAGTTGGCATACAACTAAATACCTTGTTACATATGTTTTAAATCTTATGCCACTATAAGCAAACCATCACATTGATGAGCATATCTGGAACTACCTATAGATCATTTAGAAATAATATAAGGAATTCATGTTTTTGGACAGGAAATAAACACCCTGTCAACTTAAGGGAATGTGGTTACCTGATAATAGTTATAATAGATTGAAAATTGATTTTGTATTCTTGAATACCACCAAGTGAAATAGTTTAAACTTTAATTTCAAAATATATTTTGTGAAATTAAATGAGCTGGCTCTGAGTATAGCTGACCTCTAAGGCCTCTCTTTTAGCTCTCAGAAAGTGCTGGAGACACAGCGTCGGCAACCAAATGTTTTCCAGACAGCTAATTTTCTGAGGGAGAAGTAGACAGACTATGGAGAAAAAATGTGCAGAGGGGTTCACTTAGAAATCTGTGTACAAATACTAAAAAAGGTTAAAATAAGGCGTGGACACAATAGAACTCATTCCTGGAGAAAATAAAAACCAATGATGATTAGATTATGTAACATATGTAATGGATAAAACTAAGAGGATGCTGCTTTCAACCCTTAATTTCCCTTAATCATGGTAAAGATAATATTTTTCCTAAATGGGAAAGTTTGGTCCATTGAGACTTCTGGATTCTAATAGAATTATTGAGAGATAAGATGAAAATCAAATCTTCCTGAACATCAAAGACCTCTCTCTTTTTCTCTTTCTCCAGCAGCTGTCTGATAGTTTGACCATTTCTGCAACAAGAATTTCAAAATTAAGGGAGAAGTTTCTATATTCTGTTCATATTTTCTTTATATAATTATTATATTCTCTATATATACTAAGAAAAATTTCCTCTAGACCTATCACAGGTTAATTTGTAACTGGCTGCTAGTAACTAGAAGCCATTACCTGCGTTTTAGCTTCATGACTCAGTGTCAGGAATTAGAATGAGGCCAGTTCTAGCTCACAGAGATCCCCCGCCACACACAAAGAATTGCTGTTTTTGTAGGTTTCTCCCATACCAAGTCTAAGAATAGAAACAAATAGAAAAAAGTGGCAACACAACAGAGCCATTTTTACTGCCATCTTCCCCTTCAGCATCAACTGAGGCATGTTTGATGGAGGGGGGTGAAGAGTTTTTCTTTTCCTCAGTAAGAGCTTAGTTCCATTAAGCAATGTTGGAAGATGTATTGGAGATAGTATATTTTAAATTAATTTAAAAAGTAAAGCATTTTAGTGCCTTTTAATATAAGCAAAATGGATTTTATTAAAATCCTTTCAGATATTACAATATAATGATTTATTTATCTAAGTCTGTATCAAGAGTAGAATTTCCTTTCCAAGTATATTGATTTTTCTAATGTATTTTGGAAGTGGAAAAGAACCAAAGTACTCTACCAAAATCCTTCTTCCCCATCCTTCTTCAACAGAACCAGGTCCACTGTGTCAACAGACACTATTTCAAAACGGTAGAACTGTTTTTTGTTTTTCCAGAAGAGTAGGATTAACCAATTATAAGTGTTTCTGAAGCAACAAAGGATGGGTCATATTTTTCTAAGCTGTGCTTTGCTAAGTTGAAACATGAAATGTCAAATATCTATATTAAAGTATTCAAAGTTAAGTACACTGAGTCATTGAAATATCTGAAATAGTGAAATGGTGTATCAACCTCATGGAGTCTTTGTGTAACATAGGAACGTCTATATTCATTGTTAATGTGAATAACTTATAAGGCTTATTTCTTTTTAGATTCAGAGCACATGTTGAATTGATTTACACTTTAAAGCACTTCTAGTAAAAAACGTCAGTGTTGTACAAGTTAAATGTGGAATGAAAGCCGTATTCGTTACTTTTCCCTCCGTGTTTTTCTAATAAGAACTTTCTTGGACTCTAAGGTGTTTAATCAAACTCAGAATAAATGTCTCTGCAAATTATTTAATTGTAAATTTTGGGCTGCTTAGCTCTGAAAATGATGCTTATTCCGAGTGCTATATTAAATGTGTAGCAATAGTGATAGACATTTTCCCCAGCTTGTGATATGAGTATCTTTCATTTCAGTGCATTATTGTTATATTTAAGATTATTTGACTTTAAATGAGGAACTCTATTTTAGAACACTGTGTGACTACAAAGACTATCATCTGTGCATTGGAACTAGGCTGATTGTCAGTTATGCATTCTGATATTAGCTCCCTCGTTGTTCTCCATAGAATGAAAAGGCAACATAAAGAGTGGTTTTGGCTTTACCATCTGGCTTTTAGACAGCTAGGCTTGCATCTGTGATAGTGGAAGGAAAGAGTTCTACAGATTGTAAGATGAAATCCAAAGAAGATCCAAAATCACTGTGGTCAGTAGATAGAGGTACTACAGCATTGCTGTTAAGAACAGACCCTGGAGTCATGTACTTGGATTAAAGTCTAAATACTCAATAACTGAATGACTTGGACAGTTACATAATCTCTTCAGGCTTCAGTTTTTCACAGTTCTCATCTGTAAAACGATTGTTAGAGTTTTAAGCAGATGTGTATACACTGAAGTCATCTATATCATGTATGATATGCATTACTTTAAGATACATATGAATAGATACATATGAATATATAGTTACTTAAGATTGTATATGTCTACTTAAGATACACATGACATCTATATTTATCTAAGATACCCATATGGATATATATATTTATTTGAGATTTTATGTATATATTACATACATATAAAAAAGCAGTTCTTGGCAGGTGGTAAGCACTACCTAAATATTAACTATTGTTATATTGCCTTAAATTTTCTTTATCTGAACTAATGAGTAACAAAATTGATTGCTCTAATTGCTCCTTTTTTTCTCTGCTTTTGCTTTTAAGGGTTTAAAGCAGCAAAATGTTACTTTTATGAAGTTGAGTAAACACAAAATGAGAGGCCCTAAAGCCAGGTGCTGAGTTAATAGACAGCATAATCACTTCCTGAATACACAGGAAGGAGCTTTTTGTAGAACTAGCAAAGCGACTGCTAATGGGCTTTTGTTTTAGAGATGATGGATTGATATTCCAGGCACAGGCCTGATGCGAGCCCTCCTAACAACTGCCTCTCATAGCCTATTACTTAAACAGCTTGGCACATAAATATTATCTCACATAAACCAAAACGCGAATATGTGAGATTCATAAGGGCAGCGATTCTGTGTTGGGTCACTGCTGTTTCTAGAGTCCAGGCAAAAGCCTGGCAAATAGTGGGTTCACAATAACTACTTCTTTAATGAAGTGAATGAATGAAAACCTTGACCTTTCCTTTAAAGTAGGATTAACATGAAAAGCAAAACAAATAGCAGGCTCCCCTACTTCCTGACAGATTTCTGGCCCTGAGAATGCTGAAGGGGCACTTAAAGAGCTTAAGGGTAAATACGTGCATTTAGCAAGTATTCCAGAAGTCATGGATTTGGTTAAGCATTCACCTTAATGTGTAGGGTGGCACGGTGTCACATTTAAGTCAGATCCCTGTGTTCGTGTCACATTTGAATTACAAATATTTTGGTCGACATATAATTTTGGTGTCTATACTTACACTTTTTTCTCCCCGAGGTTTTCAGAAATCTTTTACTTGTGACCAAGTGTCATAAAGTGTCACTTTAACATTTAGTTTACTTTTAACAGTGTCTAGTGAGCTTTTGACTGGCTAAAATAAGCAGTTTGACATGACCCATTTCACAGGTGGGGTCATTTATATAGCATTCCTTATAATTTAGTTCACAACCTCAGAAAGTGGATTAAAATAATGTAACATTCTCAGAATTATTCCTGACAATACAATCTACCTACATATTTGTTTTTACTGCCATAGCAAACATTTTTTTGAAAACATAAAGTTCTCTTTTCATAGCATAGTCAAGCTAATAATTTGAGCAGGGAAGTATTCATTTGTATACACTGTAAGCCTTCCTAATTATCTTTGTAATGAAAACTGAGAAGGTATGAGTCATCCTTGGGTGAGCCATCCTCAAATCTACTTGTCTTTTCTAAATATAACTAAAACAGCAAACAACCTTAAAGTATATTATTAATTGATTAGACATGATTTCTTAAAATGGTTTACACCATCTCATATAACTTTGGAGCTTCCAGACATTAATAATGAGTCACCAAAAAAGCTATCACTGATTTATAATGCACATCAGGCTTGGCTTAAGTAATTCTGTGTGGGCCAAAAGGAAAATGAGAAATATTTACAAGCGAGCCATGGCAGAAATATGCTGAAAACACCTATCTGTATTCACAGAAAACAATTAGGACTGATGCGTTTAGGGTGAGCATTCAGATTCATTTTATTCCATGGAACCGTTTCTGCTCCTGAAGCTCTGTGCAGACTGGGTCCTTAGGGTTAGAGCACTACGGAGGGTGGTAAAATTTCACTTGGCCCTTTAACAAGTAAGGTAAACCATTTACATTATTGCACAGCAACAAAAATTTACAGCGATAGGTAACACAGGATCTGATCAACGTTAATACACTTGGCGTTTAAGGCTAACCCACATTGGAAAGGAGTCATTTCCGGGATGGAGATAAATATCTTCAGTGTCACTTGTCTGAGTTGCTAGAAAAGATTTCATATTTAAAAATCAATTCATAGGATTGTTTTCACATTTGTCGGTTTCTTATCACTTGTGTGCTAGACAGAGGCACTTTAAGAATTAACTAATTTGGGTGGTACAAGACACTGAGTTTCAGCAGTTACTGATAAATATGGCAAATATATTAAAATGAAATTGGATTAAAAAGGAAATAATGAATCAGAAAATTTTGCCAAATCCTGTAAAAATTACTAATCTGATTTGAAATAATTCCTCGCTAGAAAAAAAAAAATTGCCCAAATAAGTGAATACTACAGCTTCTGATGTTAAGGTGAAATGGTTTTACTGTTTGGGCACGTAACGGTTTTAAAATATTGAGAAGTTAAGTACTTTGAGTTACAGTTCCAGTAATATTTCAAACTAGTGTACTATGCATAGATTCCAAATTGTTAGAAAAACTAAAATGTTGAATAAAACATGTTGGAAGAGTTTAGTAAAACGTATAAAAATTAAAAGGATAAAAAAAAACCCCACTCCGTTTTAAACTTGTAAAACTTAATCCCATTCATTCGTGAGAATCCAGTGACTTTTTCTTTTCTTTTCTTCTTTTTTTGAATCTTAGTTAACTGGTACGTACTGCACCCGCCACAACACGTTTGAAAGTAGGTCCTGGTATACACTAAGGAATATCCAACCAGGCAAATACATCAGGGTGATGAGCCCCATGAAATTGAGCGGGTAGTGGGAATAGTCCCAGGAACAGGCCCCGCACGTGCGGAGTCCCAGACCCCAGGACAGCTCCCACGCGTAGACGAAGACAACGTAGATAGGCACCCGCTTCCAGGTGCCCCAGCCACGGCTGTAGTGCAGGTGGAAGTAGAGCTTTTCCACCACGAAACTGCAGCTGCCGTACATAAAGAAGGACCAGAGGGACGTGTGGCCACTGGTTGCCCCCTCCCCCCGCCCCAGTACGTTAAAAAAGAAGGTGAAGAAGATCTCATCCAAAAAGCCGTGCATTCCGAAGAAAAGAAAGCGGAGCAGATCCGGCAGCCCCTGGGCTGGGGCGCCCCCGACGCCCCTGGTGCCACGGGGCCGTCGCCGCCGGCCACCTGCAGCCGCAGGGGCCCGGGCGCCGGGAAGGGCGGGGTGCGCGCCCGGCCGCTGCCCGTGCGGCTGGTACCGCAGGCGCAGGAAGCGCTTGAGGAACACACGGCCGTGGTAGAGCGCCAGCACGTACTGCAGCGCCAGGTCCAGCGTCCCCGGCGCCGCCGCGCCCCCCGACGCGCCCAGGCCGAGCAGCAGTGCCTGGCCCGCCAGGGTCTGCAACCCCACATGCGCCGAGGGGTAGAGGAGGAAATTGAAGACGAAGGCGCTGGGGCAGCGCCGCTGCTGCAGGTAGACCTTCTCCAGGGCGAAGTGGGTGAGCGAGTGCAGCAGGCAGCGGTAGGGCGAGGAGAAGCCCAGCATCCGGAGGTCCGGGCTGTGAGCGAAGCGCCGCGCCGAGGACACGAGCACGTCCAGGGTGATCCCGTGCATCCCGTAGAAGTAGAGGCGCATCCAGGCGGGCAGCGCCGCGGCGGCGGCCGGCGCTTCAGCAATGGACAGCAGCTCAGGGCTGCCGGCCGCAGCCTCTCCCCCACGCCCGCCGGGGGCCCCGGGCCGCCGCACCGCGCCGCCCGCCTCGCCGCCCGCCATGGGCTCCGAGGCTGCCCCGGCGCACGAGCCCGCGGGGCCGCCGCCGGGTGCGCGGAGCTGCGGGACCGAGGGGCCGAGTCCCGCGCCGCCTCCCGGCCGCTGCCGGCCCCCGGGGGGTGCGCAGGGAGCTCCGTTCCGGCCGCGGCCCGGGGGCTGCCGGACCTGGCGCGCTCGGGGGACGCGCGGACCGCCCGGCTCGCGGAGTCCCCCCGCCGCCGCCCCGCCGCGCGCTCCCCTCCAGTCCGGGGCGAGGTGCTGCCGGCCCGCGCCGGCGCTCACCCTGTGCGGCCTATCGGGCGGCGTGGCCCGGCGAGGGGCAGTGGCGCCGGGGCTGCGAGGAGAAAAGCAGAAGCTGCTGCCAACCCCCTGTCCTCCGCGGCTCAGCCCCGGCGCCACTGCTGCAGGCTCTGGAAGCGTAACGGGAGCAGCGACGCCCCTTCTCGCGGCTCTCCCCATGCCCCGCTCCGCCTGTCTCGACCTCTGGCTTCTCCGCAGCCCCTCTCCCCCCCGACCCAGCAGCCCTCCGCGCTGACTCCCACGGGGGTCGGGGAGGAGGCCCGGCCCTGCTTCCCCGCCCCCTTCACCGGCTCGGCTCCCAGTGCCGGGCCGAGCGGGAGGCGTTTGAAGGGGCGGAGGCGCCGAGTGCAGCAACAACTAACAGGTGTGACCGCGAGCCGAAGGGCGTTCCCTGCATCCCGGAGACCGGGGCCGGGGCCGGGGGAGCTGGCGGGGACGCCCGGCCGGGAGCCACGACCAGGGGCCGCGCAGAGGCCAAACTGTGGTGCTGCTGTATATTCAGTGTTCTTATTCAGAACCAGCTGTGTCCCAATCACAGAGAATAAACACGGACTTCACGCCTGCCAGCCCCAACGTTCCCCTGCATCTGAATGTGGCCGCGGGGCCTGGGCCGCTTTTTCAACCTTTCTTCTTGGCCAGTCTGCTTTCCTGGGTTGATTAACTCAGGGCCAAGGACGGATATTCTTAAGTCCCTTAGAATTATGAAATGAATTGAGGCCAGGTTGGTCGGTTGGTCAAACCTTGCTCTGGTACAGTGAAGTCTCACGTCAAGAATAGTACCTTTGCTCACACTGCACCCCCAGTACCGCTTTTTCTCCTTGCAGAACTAGGTTACCCAGAAATGGACAGTGAAATAGAGGATGAAGGGTTTGGTTTTTTTAATTGCTTATTTTGGGAAAGGTGGAGAGAGTTGGGGCAATCCAGAATTTTGGTGTATTGGGCTCTACCTTTTATTTTTTTTCTTCCAGTTTTGAGTCAGGCTTAGAATTGGAAAGAACCGTAAAGGTAAATTATATTGATAACCTTCCCTCCTTCCCCCCAGTGTCTAGGCGGAAACTAGATAACAATTCCGATCTGTAAGATCAGGTGTTCCTGGGATGTAAGGATTACTGGAGAATTTTTTTTCCCCCTTTTGTAGAATAAATATTCTGAGACAGTTTCTCTATTTCTGAAGCAACCTCCTCCCCACTCTGTCGCTTTACTAATTTCAACTCCTTATTTTACAATTTGTGGTTTTTAAATTGTAAATTAGGTAAGAGAGCAGGGAGAAGAAAAATTAAGGTGATAGTATCACTTGTAGAAGGTCGAAGTACTGATTTACTTATTGTAATTTTGTTTTTTTTTAATCTTTGCTTGCATGTTGTATATTTGCCGACTTCCTTTGGTCCTGGTCAGAAGTCAGAAGTTTCATGCCAGAGACAGAAGCCTTGGGTAGCAGGCTTATCAAATAAGTTGCAAAACAAAGACAGGGCTAGTTGCCCGAGTGCAAACTATACTGATAACCTCCCCTCCTTTCCCCCGTGTCTACGTGGAAACTAGATAACAGTTCCAATCTGTAAAATCAGGTGTTCCTGGGATGTAAGGCTTACTGGAGAATTTTTTTTTTTTCCTTTTGTAGAATAAATATTCTGAGACAGTTACTCCATTTCTGAAGCAACCTCCTCCCTACTCTCTAGCTTTACTTATTTCAACTCCTGATGTTACAATTTGTGGTTGCTAAATTGTAAATTAGGTAAGAGTGTGGGGAGAAGAAAAACTAAGGGGATAGTATCACTTGTAGAAGGTCAAAGTACTGATTTACTTATTGTAACTTTGGTTTTTTTAGCTGTGCTTGCATGTTGTTTATTTGCCAACTTCTTTGGCCCTGGTCAGAAGTCAGAAGTTTCATGCCAGAGACAGAAGCCTAGGGTAGCAGGCTCATCAAGTAAGTTGCAAAACAAAGACAGGGCTAATTGCCTGAGTGCCTGAGCCAGTACAATGAATAGCAATAGTAATGTTAAAAAAACGAAGTTCAACTGAGTAAATCTGAAGATCTAAATGGCTTTACCCAGGGATTCATGAATGGGGCACTATAACATCTAACAAGATGAAATGAGCTCTGAAAAGCAGTACACAAAGAAAACTTTTACAGGCCGAGTAGAGTTGGGACCAGGAATTTATCAGTAAAAGAAAAAAGAGATCCTTTCAAGCAAGGTCACCTTCCTTTGGGGGAAGGACAGAATCCTATCATACAGATTATCTCACTGCTGCCATCAGGAAATTCTAGGTTGATGAAAGGTCACATTCCTGCAGTTGAGTCTTAGTTTGCTCTTGTTGGAGAAAAGTGACTCCATTTGGACTTGTTTCTTTCTTTTTTTGTTAAACAGTGTAAATATTTTCATGAGCAACTACTATATAAAAATACTATATACACTGGGAAAATAAAGGGTTATAAGAGGTACTCAGATGTATATAAATCTAGTTGATATGATAATCTGTCATACTTATGTAAAGCCTATGCATTTACTATTATTAATTATCATCAGCTATTAGTACAGTAGGCTAATGCTTGCTGCGGTTTCAGTGACCCATGGTCAGCTGAAGTCCAGAACCACCTCCGATGTGTAATTACAAGGCCAGTAGTAGCCTAACTACATCACAATGCCTCATTTGCCTCGCTTCATCTCATCACATACGCATTTTATCATCATATTATCACAAGAGGAAGGGTGAACACAGAACAGTAAGATGTTTTGGTAGAGAAACCACATTCACATAAGTTTTATTGCAGTATAGTTATAATTTTTCTATTTTATTATTAGTTATTAATCTCTTACTGTGCCTAATTTATAAATTATATTTGATCATAGGAATGCATGTATAGGTAACAACAGCATATACAGAGTTCAGTACTGTGTGCAGTTGTAGGCATTCCCCTGGGGGTCTTGTAACATACCCTGCTGGATGAGGGGCAGCTGCTGTAAATACCAAGTAAAGTGTTTCTTTGAGTTACTATTTTACTGAACAAATGTAATCCTGGGCCCAATTTATCAGATATTTTTAAAAATGCATTCTTTCTCCATAATCACTATTCAGGCAAGGGAAAATACTTTGTCATAATAGCATAAATATAGCCACTCAAACATGCATACATTGATTTGACAGATTAAACTTGAATTGTTTTCAAGTAGTAAATTAAACTTCAAGGGCCCGAGTCTTCTGTTTATTCTAACTTTTCTTAAAGATGCAAGGAAAACCTTGAAAGGTCTAATTGTACAAGTCAGTCTAGTTCATCCCAGGGTGGTAGAAAAATCTTTTGGATTAAACAAAAACAAAATGACAGCTTCTATTTCTTTGTTTTTAATCTTGGCACTTGCCTATCACATATTTTATAAATTGTATCAGTATAAAAGGATATGTGTGAAGTTTACACATATATACAGCACATGCATACATAAAACAAGCTAAATTTTTTAATGAAGGGATTTATAATAAAGAGTTTGGCTCTCAATACTGTTGCCAATGTAGGATTCTGCCAAGTGGGTTAGACTATGAAAAATTTTATTCTTCTGGGTCCCTTTTGAATCTGTTTCCCATTTATTTTAGAAGTGATGTAAAATATAAATTAAATGTTATAAAACCAATTAGAAAATGCAGCTATTACTTGTTATTCTCTCCATGTTTCTTTTATATTTTTATAGTGGCCTCTCCTTAGTTACACCATTTCAGAAGGTTAGAGACACTAACTTACAACAAAAGTGGAAAAAAAGGTAAAAAGAAAAGTTAAAAAAATGGCAAGAGAAAACATGTAAGGAAAACATTCATTCTCTAAACTGCCTTCAAGTCTTTTCACTCATTGCCTCATTTAAAAAATTCAGTATCTTTTACCATTCTGAGAATCAGCCTCACAAGGATATGAATCTTTGTTTCTGCTTTATCTTCACATTGCTTTTTGTTTTAAATGCTTTATTTCTGTATATCCAGACTCTTCTTGCTTTTAAAACTGCAGAATGCCTTTAATCCATGATGATTTTGTTATTAAAAATCCTCACATCAGAGTGTCTGTGATTATAATATGCTTAAAAGCATTTCTGTGTTGGTCTTCACTGCTACCAAGCATTGGGTTGCAAAGATCATCTGTAAACCCAGCAACTTTTTGAGAGTTGGTGAGTGTGAGAAGGAGGGGAGTTTAAAGGTAAGAAACAGGAATCTACAATGAAATAATATCAGTTGGAGATTCTTTAGGTTAGGGAGCAGCCATTCAAAGAATACTTTGGAACATTGTTCATCCATGGAAAACACCAGCTTCTTTGCCCTCAAGGGTTACGAAGCTGTCTGAGTAACCATGCCTGTAGAGATGTGACACTTCGTGTGGAGCCAGCAATGACTTTACTGGACTGGCCAGATTGACTCCAAATGGGTGCAACCTCTGAAGTCAGGGGTCAGTATAACTAGGGAGAGACTTGAGATTTAAGAGAAAGGTCCTTTAGAAGATTGTGATCATTTCTGGTGAATTATTGCTTACAGGTCATAAGTTGAAGGTTATAGTCTTTTAGATGTATGGAACACCTGAGACCTTTCACTGTACACCAGAAGATCAAAAGGAAGTTTCATGGAGAGTACAGCATCTAGAAGAAAGCTTAAGGGAAGTTCAATAGGATATGGCATGAAAGTAATGACAGAGGAAACAGTAAAAGGCAGCAGCCACATTAACAGTAGATAAAATACACTTACTTATGGCTCAAATTACACACACACACCTCATATACTATAACCATCAAACTAAGAGGACATCCATCCAAGAAAGCTTGCAATTACTGATTAATGGCTCCCCAAAAATACCATCAAAATAACCCGTGGCTAAGCAATGCTGAGTGTCGCTTGCCATAGTAAGGAAGCTTTCTGCCTTGACAAAGTTTTAATAGCATCTTGGAGTGGGAAGGGCAATGCTAGGTTATTTATGAGGTTTCTTGAGTCTGGGTTAAGAAGGGCCTTTCAATATGATGGTTTGATTAGAATTGGATAATTGGTTATGGCATGATGCTGTAAGATCCGTGGACATGGCAAGGTGAATGTTTTGTGGTGAGGGTTTCAAAAAGTGTTGAGAATAAATTTAAAAATTCTGTCTCCCTGGTCCAGAGTTTTCTGGAATAATAAAGTTTTGTTGAAGACAGTGGAATAGTAAAATTGTGTTAATGAAGATCGCCAAATCATAGTGTCACGACCAGGTAAGCGCTGGGGATGTCTGGTCTTGGGTTTGCAGCACCTAAGGCTGAGGACCAGTTTGGAATCC